TCTCTCAAATAAATAAAATCTTTAAAAAATATATGGGCGATGGGGATGGAGTGGGTTCCTGCTCACCAGTTCCCTGTCTTTCTCAGCTTAGGTTCTCCCAAACAAGTGGTTTATTGGGAAAGTGATCCCAGGGACTGAGTGCAGGATTCAGGAGTGGAACAAGGAAGGGAAGGAAGTCACACACTGTTGACCACTGTTACAGGTGCCAGACCCTGCCAGAACCTTCTGGAAAATTCATGGCCTTCATCTCAGGACTGTCTGCCCTGAGAATAAAGGGGGAAATGTTCAACCATCCACTCCCTTTCTTTTGGCCACAGGTAGCCCCCAGGTGTTAATTCCCCTGCACTTGCAGGTGGCATGAGTGTGAGACTCTTGCTGACATCCCAGCCCAATGCACCAGAGAAGCAAGAGGTATGTAGCAGGTGTTGTCAGGCCAGGCCTGCCCGAAGCTGGCTGTAGCAGTGGCTGGGATGGCAGGCAGGGCAGAAAGGATTCAAGGTGACCCCTACTGCAGGCGGCAGGTGCAGCCCTTTCTGATCTCAAACATGGCCACATTGTAGCTTTGGCCCATGGGATATGAGCAGAAGTAACATGAGTCGCTTCTAGGCAGAGGCATGGGAAGCCAGTACGTGGTTCACTGTACTCTCTTGTCCTCAGCCAGGACACTCAATGACAGTGTGTGGAAGCCACTCTGATACCCTGGATCACGGTGTGCAGACCTGGATGAGAGCCATGGCCAACAACATGGAGAGAGATCACTAGCTTTAAGACTGGTTATTTGTATGTCACAGCCAGACCTAAAGCATTTAAAACTATGCAAGATGAGCATAAAAAGAGAGAGCCAGCCCTGAGATTCCATTTAGTGACCATTGTCTTAAAAGAACAAAATCCCAGTGTGCTGCTTGGAGTTCATTTTGCAAGCTGTGGCTTTGGAGGGAGGGGGTCTCTGTACCATGCACTTGACCTTGGGGCCACCCTTCTGTAGACCAAGAAGCTTACGGAGTTGGCCAGCTCCAATTGCTTCACCCTGAAGAACGCAGGAGTGGTGGGTGGGAAAGCTGGGGCCTGCCTTCTTTCTCCATGGGAGGTCTCAGGGAGTGCATGAGGTTGGAGGGTAGGGAGAAGGCATCAGGCTAAAGAGCTGAATGTCATGACCTCTGTCTCTTCTGGAGAAGAAGGGACAACGGCTCACTTCCCTACCCGGGTAAGTTCACCAGGGCTTCCCAGATCAGCTTTCCAGGTTTAGCAACATCAGGGGGAAAAAATCAAATGCAGAGTGAGTGCAGAACGACTGAGCTCCTGGGGCTCTGTCCCTTGCTCCGCCTTCTGCTCAGATCCACACTTTGCAATAGAGATACCAGCTGAGCCCCAGATACAATTTAAAATTGGTTAGTACCCACAGCTAGAAAGCTAACAAAAAAAAGGTAAAATTAATTTTAGTACACTATATTTAATCCTATCTATCTAAAATATTATCTCAACACACAATAAATATTTTAAAAAACATTTTTAAGGTTTTACTCATTTATTTGAAAGGCAAAGTTACAGAGACAGAGGGAGAGAGACAGACAGAGATAGAGAGATCTTGCATCTGCTGGTTCACTCCCCAAATGGCTGCAATGGCCCAGGTTGGGCCAGGCCAAAGCTAGGAACCTAAAATCCTATCTGCATTTCCCACATGGGTGGCAGGGGCCCAAGCACTTAGACCATCTTCTGCTGCTTTCCTAGGCACATTAGCAGGGAGCTGGATCAGAAGTGGAGCAGCCGGGACTCGAACCAGTGCTCACAGGGTGTGCCAGTATTGCTGTGCCACAACACCAGCCCCAATATTTAAAAATGAACAAGATATTTTGCTCTTCTCTAAGTGTTTGAAAAATGGGGTGCAGCTCACACGTTCAGCCTACTTCAGTCTGGACCAGCTGCATTGCAAGCACTCCAAAGCCACGTGGCAATTGTAGGGAACAGGGCAGCTCCAACGTCCACGTGCCCCAGACTTCTCACAGCTGGTTCCATGTCAGCTAACATGTCACCTCCTCACAGATGGCTCCCTTGTTGGTGTCATCCAAGGAGCAGCCCTCCTACCTCCTGTCACACCATCCAATGCCTCCATTTCCCAGGGATATTGTGATAAAAAGAAATTGACCACAAACTGAGTGACTTAAAACAATAGAAACGTATTCTCTCACAGTTCTAAGGGCCCAGGGCCATGCACTTTCGGGAAGTTTCAGGGTAGAACCCCCGCTGGCCTCTCCTTACTTCTGACAACGGTTCACTGGCAATCCTTCTGCTTCCCCTTGGCTTGTGGCTACACCTCACTCCAAACTCTGCCTTCGTGTTCATGGAACTCTTGGCTGCCCTGCGTCAGCGTTTTGTCTTTTTTCTTCTCCCAGAGATACTAGTCCTATTGGATTCGGAACTCTCCTACTGGAGTATAAGACAAGACTCCTGTCTAAGTGTTACCTTAACTTGTTACACCTGCAATGGCCCTTTTTGCAAATAGGGTTACATGCTGAGGTTCTGGGGAGGACCTGCATGTGGGGATCCCACGCTTCAAGCCAGCATGTACCGCCGCACTGTTCTGTTTTATAGACACAAATGCTCTCTTCAACTGTCCCGTCTGGGGGCCGGTGCTGTGGCATAGCGGGGAAAGTTGCCACCTGCCGTACCAGCATCCCATATGGGTGCCGGTTCGAGTCCTGGCTGCTCCTCTTCCAATCCAGCTCTCTGCTATGGTTTGGGAAAGCAGTAGAAGATGCCCCAAGTCCTTGGACCCTTGCACCGCGTGGGAGACCCGGAAGAAGCTCCTGGCTCCTGGCTTCAATGGGCGCAGCTCTGGCTGTTGCAGCCAATTGGGGAGTAAACCAGCGGATGGAACACCTCTCTCTCTCTCTCTCTCTCTCTCTCTGTCTCTCCTTCTCTCTCTGTGTGACTCTTTCATATAAATAAATAAATCTTTTTTAAAAAATTGTCCTGCCTGCTCTCCCGTTTCTCTCGATGGTCCCCACTAAAAGGCAAGCTGCACATGGAGATGGCCCGCGTCAAGCTCACCACCCTGTGCTCAGCACTTGGCAGAGCCCCTGGCACTTAAAAGGAGAAAATACAGGGAGAAACAGACCTTCTGGTTGGATAGGTTTAAATGATTCGTGGAAATCAAGAAAGGGCTGAGGCGAGGACGGGGAAACGGGGAGCGAGCCAGGGCCTCCTGCTAACACCGGCCTCAGCCTTCCACTCTTTCCCGAAGCTTGAACGTGGACCCAGCTGTAGCCACTGGACAACCTCTCAGAGGGGACAGATTCATTCCCGTGCCTGCTGGAAAGCTGCCCTCCGCCTTACCCCACCATGGGAATGTGGCTGCCCAGCTAAGCAGGCAGTGTGGCAGAGGGCGGGAAGGAAGTGGCACTTGCGACACCTGCCCAGGGCATGCTCAGTGCTATTGGCCGCACACTGGAGCAGCCGTGTCTGCGGCTGAGGATGCAAAGCAGCACTAAGACACTCAACTGCCCACAGGGAGTTAGGACAAGCCGGCCAGGTGGGGACCAGCACAGACCGGAGCATGTCCTGGTAAACGAGCAGCAACCTTGAACTCCAGGTGATTGTTCCCATAAAACTGTAGGTGATTGTTCCCATAAATACTCCTGCATTTCTTCATTTTTCAAATGAGCTCTGCAATCTATATATTTAAATAAAAATACCAAATTAGAGAGGTTGTCAAGGAATTCAATTTAAAAGGGGAAGAGGGAACCATTATGGAAGCCACACACAGAGTCTGTAGCAGAACTCTCACAGGTAGACTGAACAAAGAACAGGCAGGTAGGTCTACACACCCATGGTTAGGCCCAAATGTACCAGAACACCCTCTTCCCTCCCTCGACACAGGCCCTGGCAGGGATAATGGATCTTTGACCTCAGCTCTGTTTCTGCCCAGGTCCTCTCCAAATAGTCACATAAAGCATGAGGATTTACAGCAGGGTGGGGAGACTTTTGTCTGCCAAGGGCCATTTGGCTATTTGTATTTTTTATTTTATTTATTTATTTGAAAGGCAGAGTTATAGAGAAGCAAAAAGAGAGAGGTCTTCCATCCACTGGTTCACTCCTCAGATGGCCGCAACAGTCAGTCAGGGCTGGGCCAGGAGCCAGAAGCTTCTTCTGGTCTCCGATGTAGGTACAGGGGCCCAAAAACTTGGGGCATCTTCTACTGCTTTCCTAGGCTATAGCAGAGAGCTGGATTGGAAGTGGAGTAGCCAGGACTAGAACCAGCGCCCCTACGGGATGCTGGCACTGCAGGCGGCAGCTTTACCAGCTACGCCACAGCGCCGACCCCCATTTGGCTATTTGTAGCATCATTCACGGGCCACATAGAAGTATCAGCTTAAAGAGTAGCCTGCTAGAGATGTGTTGGGCTTCGAGTCCCGCCTGAGGTTGTCTGGTCCCGGCCAGGCTGCACAGTGGCCCGCAGGCCGGATGTTCAGCACCCCTGAGGAAGGTAGAGTGGGAAGCCGGGTTGCCCTTCTCCCTCAGTCAAACTGGGGCTGTTCTTTCCGTATCCCCACCTCCTAGGGCCCCTGAATTCCCTGGTCTTCCTCTTGGGGGCTTCACAGTCAAGATTAGACAGCTTCCAGTCTAGGCTTCCCCAAGCTGAAGAAGCCTCGGTTTCCCCATCTCTAAGATAAGGGCGAGGTCATACGGCAACTTGGTTCAAAATCTGTGCAAGGTACTTCTCCCCGGAGGTCGCCTCAGCGAGCACAGAAGGCAGGAGCGCGGGCTTCGAACCCTCGCAGCCGCTTGCTCAGTGAGCACCCTGCACCAGGAGGGTCGTCCCGGCCCGTCCTCGCTGGCACCACTGGGCTGAGGATTACCTTGATCTCTCTAAGAACCCTCTTATTTAATGAATGCAAATGTGATAAGTACAACTTTAGGAATACAGGATTCTTCGAACCATACCCACCCTCCCACCCCTACTCCCACCCACCTCCTCCTCTCTCTCCCATTCCCAGTCCCATTCTCCATTAAGATTAATTTTCAATGAACTATAGATAGAAGACCAACTCTATACTAAGTAAAGATTTCAACAATTTGCACACACACACACACACACTGAGAACAAGTTTTACAGTTAATTCTCATAACTCATTGAGGACAGAGTTCCTGCAGGAAGTAAGTGCACAGTGACTCCTGTTGTTAATTTAACAATTAACACTCTTACGTCTGATGTCATTGATCACCTGAGGCTCTTGACATGAGCTGCCTAGGCTACGGAAGCCTTTTGAACTCACAATCTCCATCAATATTTAGATAAGGCCATAAGCGGAGTGGAAGTTCTCTCCTCCCTTCAGAGAAAAGTACATTCTTCTTTGATGACTACTTTGTTCTGCTGGGGTCTCACCCACCGAGGTCCTTCGTGTAGGACATTTTTTTGCCAGTGTCTTGGCTTTCCATGCCTGAAATGCTCTCATGGGCTTTTCTGCACTGAGGATTGAATGTGATACTATTAGAAACCACTCAACACAATTATTTAGTGAACAATGATAAGTCAATAGATTTTTACCTTAATTTTTTTTACATACCCGACAGGAGAACAGCATCAACAAACCTTAACCCAGCGTGGTGCGTGGGGTCCTCAGAAGGATGTTAGGTAGTGTGAGGACAGAGGATTAAATTACCAATGAATACCAAGGTGCATCCGTGTTTCCGTTTCCCATCTCTTCTAAGACTCAGCCTTGCCAGCATCCCACACTTGCTAGAGACACACCCACACACCTGAACTTCCCATGCTTGGTTTTAGCTGTGTTTATTTGCTACAACTTCCTTTTCTGGGAAATAACAGCTCCTTTTCAATTTACAGTAGTTGTACCAGAATTTCTTCCCCCCACATATGTATTATGTATGTATTTGAGTTTCTAAAAAAAAAAAGAGTTAATGTAAGGGAAAATGCTAAGTCAAAGCAGAGGTTAGTGGCCAAAATCTTGACGTTTAGGAAAGGTGACCCTCGACAACTTCTCAGACAAGGCCAGACCCTGACTTTGTGCTTCTGCACCCAAGGGCTCTTGGCTTCCCAAGTCTGGAGCAGGGCGGAGAACCCGGCAATTCGTGCGGGCCTTTGAAGTCCAGAGGTCCCAGAGCCAGGGCGTCTGGAACGGGCGCTCCAAGGCCCCGGACTTACCAGCCAGGGTTCCTTCCGGGTTCAAGGAGAGCTCCGGTGCTCCCAGACTTTCACCAACCTTGACACCTGCGGAGGCGCGCCTGGGCCGTTTCTCCCGGGCTCGAGCCACCTCTCCACGGAGGGACCGCCCCTCCGCAGCGCCTTGAGGTCGGCTCTGCAGTGGCCGCGGCCGAGCAGAGGGCGCGGGCTGGGGACTGCCGAAGGGCCTGCGTGTGACCTTGCCTAGCCAAGAGGTGCCCACGCGTCCTCAGCAAGCGCAGGGGTACACAATGCCGCTCTGTTTGATTCCGCTACGTGTCACTCGGTCGCGCAATTTATTGCCATTAGACGGGGTGGCCGGGCACTCATTTCCTGGTGGCGCTCCAGCACAGCCTCCGAACACCGGGCGAGGGGCTCGCCAGACAGGCGGGGGGTTCCCGTAACGAGGCTTTAATGAGCGGACCGCGGCTGGCCTTTGTGGAGAAGCCCGAGGAGGCGGCGGTCCGGCCGGGCCCTCGGCCACCAGGTCACTTCCTCCCCCAAACCAGGACCCGAGTGCCCGCGAATCCGTTGAGGGTCAGCTGCGGCTGCCAGCCGGGTGCCCACTGTGCCTGCACACCCCCCTCACCCAACTCCCGAGCTGCTGCAGGAAACGCAGGATTTCCATGCAACAATGCAAACGCGCTCATTACCATCTCCTCAGTATGCAAGAAGAAAATGCGCAGCGCTGGCCGGGCCGCATCACCGGGCTCTGGCCTGGACATCCAATAAGGCGACATGTTCCTCTCCCAAGATGGATGAGGAGGGGGCGCCGGGGAGGCACGGATGCCGGAGAGGGGCCCGAAGAGAGGAGACGCCCGAGGAGGAGAACCTGCAAGCCAGACGGAGCGGGGCGGGGTGGGGGAAGCTGAGGATGAGAACGAGCGAGGGAAGAAAGGAAAGCGAGAGCGGGCCGCGAGAGGGGCAGTGTCCGAGCGAGAGGAGACGAGAGGGGGGCGCCGCCGAGCGAGCCAGGGGAACGTGTAAAACAGAACGAATGAGGGAAAGGGATGACCTAGAAATCCAAGAGGCAGAAAGTGCGAGCGACAGGGAAAAACAAAGGAAGTCGGGGGAGCGAAGTCAGGTGGGGAAAGACCGATCCTGCAGAGCTAAAGAAAAATAAAATCACTCGGGGCCAGAGCCAGGTTTCTCGATCCAGGCCATTACCCGGGGCGCTGCGCACCAAGGAGTCCCTCGGAGACCCAGGGCAGCGGGCTGAGTCCAGGCGGTGCGGAGGCGAGGCGCGAAGAGCCCGGTGCCCGCCGGCCGGCCTCACGGGTCCGCTCCCGGGCGCCCTGGCCAGGCCCGGGGCCCGCCCCGCGCGTCGCAGCCCGTGGTCGCCGCGGCCATTCAGGCGGGCAGCCTCTCCCGCTCCGACAGCGAAGTTGGCAAAGTTTTCCCCTAAAGTTTCCCGGGGGCGTCTCCGCATCCAGGGCAGGCCTCCGAGGCCGGGGCGGCTCAGCAGGCAGCGGCAGCACGTTCCGGGGCGGCGCGGTAGGCCCCCGGCCCGCGCCTCCTGGGATGCTCGCAGTCCAGATTCCCGGCCGAACACGGAGCGCTCCCGGAGCCGACGCCAGGCCACGCACTCGGGAGCCTGCGCAGCTGCTGTCGGCGAAGTGAGAGAACGCGAAAGAGAGAGAGGGAGAGAGAAGGAGAGAGAGAAGGAAAAAAAATATTCTCAGCTCAATTTAAGTCTCATGGAAAGGGCTTACAACTGTAATTAAATCATTAAATTCTTGTCTACGCTTCACAGAGCGGAGAGAAATTAACTTCCCACCAACCTCATTTTCTATTTGAACATGAAATAATGATTTTCTGCCCGTCTAATTACAAAGCCAACATCTGATCAAGCCAGCATCCAGAGGGGATTATCGCATGCACGAGTATTAGACCTCATTACCAGCTTGAGTGCAAAATTATTACATCTTGTAATTGGATGGTGAGATTTATATACAGATCGGCCCGGTTTCTGTAAGATTGTAATTACAAGCTTCGTTGGTTAGCTACTTATCAGAACTTTGCAGGAAAACAAAACAAATGACTGAGGAAAACGAGCATTTCATTAACCTGTAACCCGAGCGCGGGGGGAGGGAGCGGTGGGAGCGCGCGCCGTGGCGGATGCAGGAAGCGGAGGGATCGCCGGCCCGCGCCGCCGCGCGGGGAGTTGGGCCTGGAACGAAGGACGGAAGATGGGCCTCGGCTGGGAACCCCGAGCCACCGTGGCTCCCCCCACGCCGGGGACGCGCGCGCGCTTTGGGGCTGGGCAAGGAGGGGCCGGGAAGAGAGCCTGGTGGCTCGGAGCCCGTGTGCAGTGCGCGGCGCAGCCCCCGGAGCTTGGCGGGCACCGCAGGCCCTGGGCACGTCGGGCAGCGGATCCCAACGCGCGTCCGGCGCGCGGCGGGCACCCTGTCTGTTTCCCGCGCCCTGGGCCGCGCTCAAAGTGCATCAGCAGCGAGTATCCAAAGCGCTTTGTGCGCTGGGGAGGTTCGAAGAAGGCAGGATGACAAGAAGCTTTTGCGTTCGGCGCGTTCGTGCGCGCATGTCTTTCCCAAACCAACTTTCCGTGCACCTGCTTTTCCTCGCCTTGCCAATGTGTCACTCTGACCTAAACTCTTGGAAGAAAAAGCCCTGGAAAAGGCTCCGCTGCCCGCCAACCCACCCATTCTGTCCCGAGCCGGCCTCCGCTGCACGGGTGGAGTCGGGGGACCCAGCGCCACGTCGGGGCTCGGCTGCCTGGGAAGCTGAGTCCCGTAGTAGCCAACAGCGGGTCTCCAGACCAGGCCAGGGCTGTTCCCCGCTGGAAAGTAAGGTAGCCCTGAGGCCGCTTCTGCTAGGGGCCCGGCATGCCAGGAGGGATCTAATTAAGCGAGGCTCTTCGGTGAGCATTTGGGTCTGGAGGTTCACCCTCTGGGCAGTGCGCCCCCCGGCCGGCCTGACAGGGTTCTGAGAACGTCGCCGTCCCGGGCGCTCTCTGCGGCTGCCCGCAGTTCTACGCAGCGCCGGCTGATGCGGAAGGGGCATTCACAAGGCTCATAGTTCCTTCTGCAGCAGCCGAGTTAAACACGGGCACTCCGCCGGGCACAGCGCAGCCCCGGTGCCCCCTCCGTGCACTCTCGCTCTCCGCATTCCTATCCCCCACCCCCGCCAGTCCGGTGCCACCTCTTTGTGCCAACTCTAGGACTTGAGGGCTGTCAGGGCTCTAAGTCGACATCTAGGAAACATCCGGGAAATATTGTCCTCAATTTTGCAATCGCAAGATCTTTCGCGAGCAGGTGAGCCCAAGATTCCCTAGGATGCCCTTGGAAAGGTTTAACCGGAAACGAAATCAGGCGCCAGGGAGAGCGGCCCCTAATGTCTCCTCCCGCATGAAGCTTCAGCCAAGGCCAACTCTTGAGACCAGGCAGGGGCGCGCGGGGGCAACTAAGACTCAAAGCGGGAAGACCCCAAATTCCCTCACCGAACCTTAAATCTAGTGGTCCCCAAACCTTGCCTTGTCTTTCCTCCCAGTTTTCACAGCGTGCACACCCACCGGCGCCGCGGACGCTAGCCAAGCTAGACAGAGGCGGGAGGAGGGGGTGGGGCCAAAACTGGGTGTCCGTGCCTGAACCGAGAGTCTTTTCATTCCGGGCGAGCTACGGTGATGACCAGAGACAGCCTGGACCGGGACCCTTCGAGTCCTCCACTGCAGTAGAGTCTACCCTAGATCGATCAGTGCAGGGAGGCCGGCTTCCGCCTCCGAGCCGGGAGTGGTCACTGCACAGCGGAGCCGTTGCCAACCGACCGTCCGCGTAGCTCGTGGGTCCCGGCGCGGCCTAAAGCGCTTGGCCTGAAGCCGCTGGCGCTCCCGGCCGCACGCCCGGCTCCGTGACGGTGGGTCCATGGCTACCCACAGTTGAGGTTTGATTTTAGGGAATGTCCCACCATAAAACCACAAGTCCAGTCCCCGCCCTGTATCCCCGGCCATGGGAGGATTCTTGGCACAGGGACCTGGGAGCCAGGAATCAGGAACCGGGGAGCGAAACCAAGGATCTCCGCACACCGAAGGCGCCAATATAGAAACTTCTCGAAGTTCCCTTGGAAAGTTCAGGGGCCTCCCTAACCCGCCCCCAGCAAGGACCACTTTCTGGGCGCAGTTCCCCAAGATCCCTGGTGGGGAGGCCCACTCTTGGGGCCCACCCTTGGGCCCTGGGCCGAGCCTGCCACCTATGGTAAGCGACTCGGACCCGGACACTAGAGCGGCTGATGTGGTTAATTCCAGTGCTTGGTCCCCCGGGGTAGGGGACCGACCTGCGCACCTGAGCAACGCACCGGCCTCTACCGACGAGACTGGGCCGCACGCCCTTGTCCCCGCCCCGCCACCCCACCCACCCATCTCTGGCTCCCTTCCCACGCCGCCGAGAGTGGCTGCGCCTCCAAAGGTTCGATCTGAAAGGAGGATCCCGGCACCCCAAAGCCTGCCGTAGCCCAGGGTCTAGTCCCGACCCAGGCCGCGCGCGGTAGCGGGCGGGAGCGGTCCCGAGGGGCGGGAGGCAGGGAGGGGCGAACTGACCCCGCACTAACCCGCGTCGCCGCGCCTCCCTGCTCCCCCTCCCGGCGCAGGCAGCAGGGGGCCGTAGAGGGATTGGGAACACCGTGAGTCCCGCCCTATTAAGGCCATACCCCCGGGAGGGGTGTCGGGGGGGGGGGGGTGTTTTGCCCTCAGGGCGGCCTGAGTTTGGAATTTCTTGGGTTTTTCTAGGAAAATGAAAATAACTGAGGTTAACGGCAACCCAAATTTATGGGAAGGGCGAGGGAGGGGGTGGGAGGGCGGAGACGGACTCACAGACGCGGACGCGGACACACACCCCCCCGCACAGCACCCCGAGTGTCCGCAACTTGAGGCCGCCGTAGCCCGGCGCGCAGGGGCTGGGAAGGCTGGGGGGTGGGGGTCGGAGGGGGGCCGGAGTGGGCACCTTGTGTGAGTAAGAAGGAAGGTTAGAAAGATGGGAGCGAAGAAAAAGTGAGGGGGGCAGCGAGGCGAGCAGAAGCCATCGTGGGACGGGGAGAGAGGCGAGGAGGAAAGGAGAGTTGGCCAGGCGTCCGGGAGAGCGAAAGGGCCCGAAGGAGCGGAAGCGATCCCGGGGGGTGGGGGGAGAGGAGCGCGGGGAGGGGAGAGGAAGGGCGCGGAGGGGGAGTGAAGGCGAGAGGAGGGCGAGGGAAGCGAGGCGCGGCGCCGCTCGGGGAGAGGAGGGCAGTGCGGAGCCAGGCGCGGGCAGAGGCGGCTCAGGCTGCGGAGAGGAGGGAGCGCGGCGCAGAGAGGAGGGGCTTGCGGCCCCGTAGAAATGTCAATCAGAGCCCGGAGCCCCGGGAATCTCCGCCAATCTGTTCGGACCTGACCTGGCTCCTCGCCGCCGCCGCCGCCGCCGCCGCCGAGCAGATCAATAGGCGAACGCGGAGCGCAGCGCAGCGCGGGAGGCAGCGCGGCCCCAGCCCGGCCCAGCCCCCGATGCGCGCCGGAGCCCGCGGGCGGCGCTGAGCAGGGCGGCCCCGGGGGCCGGGCCCCCTCTCCGTCGGTGCCCCGCGGGCCACCATGTCCTTCCCCCAGCTCGGATACCAGTACATCCGCCCGCTCTACCCGCCCGAGCGCCCGGGAGCCGCCGCCGGCGGTGGCGGCGGCGGCGGCGGCGGCGGTGGTGGTGGCGGCGGCGCGGGGGCCCGGGGTGGCCCGGGCGCCGGAGCCTCGGAGCTGGCTGCCTCCGGCTCCCTCTCCAATGTGCTCTCGTCCGTGTATGGGGCGCCCTACGCCGCGGCCGCCGCGGCGGCCGCCGCCGCCCAAGGCTACGGCGCCTTCCTGCCCTACGCCACAGAGCTGCCCATCTTCCCGCAGCTGGTAAGAGCCCGAGGCACCGGGGAAGGCGGGTGGGAGCCGGGATGCCGCGGGAGCTGAGCGCGCGGGAGTGTAATGGCCCGGGCCGGGCCGGGCCGGGAGGGTGGAGGCGGCGCCGGCCGGGCTCACCGCGCTCCCTCCGCGCGTGTCCCTTTGCTTCTCCATGTGCGTACAGGGCGCGCAGTATGAGCTGAAGGACAGTCCCGGGGTGCAGCATCCGGCCGCGGCCGCCGCGTTTCCGCACCCGCACCCCGCCTTCTACCCGTACGGCCAGTACCAGTTCGGGGACCCGTCCCGTCCCAAGAACGCCACGCGGGAGAGCACCAGCACGCTCAAGGCCTGGCTCAACGAGCACCGCAAGAACCCCTACCCCACCAAGGGCGAGAAGATCATGCTGGCCATCATCACCAAGATGACCCTCACCCAGGTGTCCACCTGGTTCGCCAACGCGCGCCGGCGCCTCAAGAAGGAGAACAAGATGACGTGGGCGCCCCGCAGTCGCACGGACGACGAGGGCAACGCGTACGGGAGCGAGCGCGAGGAGGAGGACGAGGAGGAGGACGAGGAAGACGGCAAGCGCGAGCTGGAGCTGGAGGAGGAGGAGCTCGGTGGGGACGAGGAGGACGCGGGGGGCGAGGGCCTGGCGGACGACGACGAAGACGAGGAGATCGACTTGGAGAACTTAGACGGCGCGGCGGCGGGGCCTGAGCTGGCCCTGCCTGGGGCGGCGCGCAGGGACGGCGACCTCGGCCTGGGACCCATTTCGGACTCCAAAAATAGCGACTCAGAAGACAGCTCCGAGGGCTTGGAGGACCGGCCGCTGCCGGTCCTGAGTCTGGCCGCCCCAGCGCCGCCGCCGCCCGTGTCCGCGGCTCCGCCGTCTCCACCCTCTCCCCCAGCTGGCCTGGACCCCTGCGCTCCCGCTCCGGCGCCCGCCTCCGCCCTGCAAAAGCCCAAGATCTGGTCCTTGGCCGAGACAGCCACAAGCCCAGACAACCCGCGCCGCTCGCCTCCCGGCGCGGGGGGGTCCCCTCCTGGGGCAGCCGTCGCGCCCCCGACCCTGCAGCTTTCTCCGGCGGCGGCGGCGGCGGCTCACAGACTCGTCTCCGCGCCGCTGGGCAAATTCCCTGCTTGGACCAACCGGCCGTTCCCAGGCCCGACGCCGGGCCCACGCCCGCACCCGCTCTCGCTGCTTAGTTCGGCCCCTCCGCACCTGCTGGGACTCCCCGGAGCCGCGGGTCACCCGGCCGCCGCCGCTGCTTTCGCTCGACCCGCCGAGCCCGAGGGCGGCACAGGTGACTGCTGAGCGCGGGGCGCGAAGGGAGGGTGCGGGTTGGCGGGGACGGACGAGGCCGCGGGAGCACAGCGCGCTCACCTCTCGCCTGTTGCCTCCCGCGGCCCCGGGCCCCGGAACCGAGCGCTCTGAAGGGCCTGTGTGTTCTCCCCCGCTTCCCGCAGATCGCTGTAGTGCCTTGGAAGTGGAGAAAAAGTTACTCAAGACAGCTTTCCAGCCCGTGCCCCGACGGTAAGAGACTCCCTGAGGTGGGGTGGGGGTGGAGGCGGGGGGCAAGCTGAGCCGCCCGCTAGGCCTTTCCCCCAGAGGCGCGCGCAGCTGGGATGCTTTTTATAAAAAGGGACAAAACTTGGGGCTGGAGGCGGTGGCGGTGGCGCCAGCCCCAGCCCAGGATCCCCCGCCACCGCGCTGCGGGAAGCCGAGCCTGGCCCAGCCAAAGGGTCCCTGAAATGCCCACCTCTTTGCAGCCCTGGCTCTAGAGTCCTACTGTCTCGCGCTCACCTTATGGTTAAACCCCCCCCCCACACACAAGATCTCCATCTTCACCTGAGTCCCATCTGGCGTTAAGACACCCCCCGCCCCCAGCCTTAGGTGCGGTCCAACGGTGCTAAGCAAACTCTGCACCCCTAAATCTCATCTCATTTGCTCCCCACTGTCTCTGTCTTGCAGACCTCAGAACCACTTGGACGCCGCTCTGGTTTTGTCGGCTCTTTCCTCCTCCTAGTTGTTTTTTTTTTTTAAGAAATTAAAATCGTTGTAATAATTGTAAAAAAAAAAATCGTTCTGTATAGTTACAACTTGTAAGCATGTCCGTGTATGAATACCCCCCAAAAAGGAAACAAAAGGAAACAAAAAGAAATAAAACCACACACCCCCACCCCGAGTCCCTCAAGTCGCTTGTGTGCGCCCCACGTCAGCGTCAGCTGCGATGGTGGGGTTGGTTTGTTCGGTTGATTGGGGGAGACGGGGAACGAGGCGTTTCAGTGAGAACTAAGCGTGTCTGACTTTTTTTGTATATACGAAAAAAATGTACATATGTGTGAACCAAATTGTACAAGAAAGTATCTATTTTTGGCTAAATAAATGAGCTGTTGCCACTTTGACTATAACCGGCCTGCCTGCCCCGGACAGATCTGTTTCGCAGTTTCTTTTGTTTTTTGGTTTTTGTTTTGTTTTGTTTTTATTCTCCGCCCGCCGCCCCCCCCTCCCCCCCCCCCCCCCGTTGTCTGAAGGATCTCTCGAGTCAGCAGAAGGGACGAGTGAGGGGACAGGACGGTGAGGCCGGAGGACAGCCACGGAGGAGGAGGCGCAGACGCGGCGGGGCTGGGGGCGCCCGAGAGGACGGGCGGAGGATGCAGGTGGGGACCTCGGCGAGAACCCCCTGCTGGGCGCTGAGAATCCGGGTCCGACCGCTGGTGCAAGGGGGCGCCGCGGGGGCCCTGGGACCCTCGGCGCCGGCGGCCAAAGACTGGGAAGGGCGCGGACGTGGAGCGGTCAGGTCGGGAGGCTCTCGCCGCTGCCTCTCCCGCCCCCAGGTTTGGATGGCACCACTGAGGTCTTCCTCACAGAAGGGGCGGTGCAAGCCCGGCCTCCATCACACCGCAGCCCCCAGACCCCTCTAAGACGCGCGCATGTTGGGGAGCAGGGGGCCCGGGAGGGGCCCTCTTGGTGGCTGTGCGACTGTGCCCAGCTCAGGTCGGGAGCTGGAAGCCCCGGGTCCTCGCGGCGTCTGCGCGTGCGGGAGCCACGGCAGGTGTTACCCTGACCGCTGAGGTCCAGGCGCGGGGTTCAGGCTAGGTGGGGCCGCTGCACCTTTTCAGCCAGGCTGGAGCAGGGCAAGGGGTGGGCGGGCCGGGGGAGGGAGCCGGGAAATTTGGGGCTGGAGCTCCCTCTACAGGACAAAGGGGACGCTCTGCGCCCCGTGCGCGCCGCCTCTGCTGCCGGGCCGGGTGTCGCGCCCCACCCGCGCCGCGCGCTTCCAGGCCGCGGGGCGCGACTTCAGCTGAAAGGAGCTGTGGGAACGCTTGGCAGAGGCACCCGTCCGTGTGCAGTGTGTGTGCCGGGGGGCATCTTTTACGCACCCACTAATGTATAGGGTAGCCAGGCATTGGGCGTTCGCCTGGAAGAGTGGGGCGCGTGGCGATCTGCAGGGTTCCTGGGGAAACAGGAAGAGCTCGCTCCCCTGAAGCCACCGGATACGGCCCAGAGTGAATACCGGACACCTGCGCTAAAGGCGGGGAGTCGGGCAAGGACCGGTCCTCGCGGACACAGGTGCCGGCGCCGCGCCCCTGGGCAGGGGCCGGGCTTTGGAATCTGCGGCCCGCGCACGCCGCAGGCCGGGAAGTGCCGCGGCCCCTTCCCCAGAGGCAGCTCCCTCTGCTTCTTCCCAATCCCCCCCGCCGCCGCCGCCCCAGTTATTAACGGTGTTTCTGGGGTTCGGGCTCCTTCCCAGGTCGCAGGCACGGACGGAGGTTCCATTCTAGGAGACTAAGCACCACGTGGGCTTTGAATCTGAGACCAGGCCCCCAGGCCCAGGGCAGAGGCCTCTGGGTAGCATCTTCACAAGGACAACATTCCTGCCACCCCTGGCTCTCCTGGAGCTGCACGCGCCTAACAGTGGCAGCCATGGGCTTCCTGTTTAATTCCCGGATTAATTGCCTTCTCTGTGTCCCTATTTGCTCATCTGCAAGATGGGAGCGCTGCCACCTCTCGCCGAGTGACTGTGAGACTGAGAGACAGCGCGTCCAGAGCTGGCAACAAGGCTCTTAGGTCCCACCCCACTCATGCCCACCAGCCAGAAAAAAGCAAGGCGGCTCCCCTTAGGTATCTGGGACTCCCCATAGCCCCAGCTCAAACCAAGGAGAAAGAGGACCTCGCAGGCAGTGCCCAGCAGGGACGGGGGCTGTGATGGGGATTCGGTGGCAGAAGGCAGGCAGCCTCTCCTCTCGGAACATCCACTGGGGAGCGGGAATGGATCTGCTCCCCGGGAGGGGGCATGAGAGGGGTCACGGTAGGCCCCAGGTCTCTGCCTGAAGACCCTGGCATTGGGTTTGAGACCATGCTACCCCTGCTGAGAGCAGTGTGGGTGGGCACCTGAGGGGGCTGGCTCCAGGGGCACGTGTGCACCTGTGGGCCTGTGTCTCAACATCCCTGCAACTGGCCCTGAGCTGATCCCAGTAAGATAGCCTAATAAAATCAGAACGAATTGCACGGCTCTTTGGCTGAAAAGAGGAGACAGCTCCATTCTGCAGCTCTTTCAACAGGAAGCAAGTTCTCGTTTCTTCTCCCAGGTCCTCCCACACCCTCTCCTCCCCTCCAGGCTGCACCTTAACTCTATCCTCTCGGAGATCCCAGGAACCCCCTCCATGGTCCCTAAAGGTTAAAAGGGAAGCCAAGAGGAGGGGAGGGGAGGAGGAGTATCTCCTCCCTGCTGCTGATTAAGCCTCAGTCAGGAGCAGAATGCGTCCAGCACTCCTCCTGGAAGGGGCTCCTGCTGTGGGGGCTGTGGAGCAAAAATCGATGCGGTCACAGGAAGGGATGTGCAGCGCTGGGAACCTCGTTAGGGTCCTGCAACGGGGTGGGGTGGGCAGCGTGGGGCCAGGGAGCCACAGGACCACAAAACAAGCTCCTGGGTTGTCCACTTCCGGGACCAAGACATCAAAGGTGTCCAGTGGAACCTGTTTCCTGGGGAGGAGGAGGTGAGGTTCAGAACAGAAGGCAACACTGGCCAGAGGGCGAGTGGAGGGGCAGCCGCTCACCTGCCCCAGGGTAAGGAAGGGGGCTAGGGCAGGGCCCGCCTCCTGAGCTGGTCATCTCCTAGGCCCGCTGTCTCAGGTCGGCCTGCCTGTAGAAGGCGCCCAGAGGGATTGGTTGCTTGAGTAGTAGTTGCATACCACGCATCTTCTGGTTTTGGTGTATTCCGAGTTTGAGCCTGATTATTGGTGTCCTCCTGGAAATATCCTTTGCATCCTGGTTGCCCGTGCCCCCCCACCCACCCCCCCATCTGCAGTGCACACAGGCAGCTGGAGGTCTATGAAACTTGTGTCTCTGCTTAGGAACCACTCCAACTTGAGTGGGGGCGTCCCAGGCTCTCTGTGGGCCTTGTTTAGGACATAAGTGAAAATGGAGTGGGTGGATGAGATGCACTGACCCAAACTTCCTTACAGATCCAACAGGGTCTACAGTTCGACATAAAGAAAATAAATATGGCAAGGGGGTCCCCCATAACCTCTCTGGAGACCGGCTCTCCAGTCTCATTGGCAACTGTTGCGATCAGGCCACAGAGCCCGTCCACACCAAAAATCTCCATGTGTTGTGATCAACCTCGTCATGGTCCTGACTGGCTGGATGGGAAACCACCAGCCAGGTGTGGCTTCCTAGAGCAGAGCAGTGGTCCTCAACAGGGGACATTTTTCTATTTCAAGACCAGAACGCCGGCGCCGCAGCTCACTAGGCTAATCCTCCGCCTTGCGGCGCCGGCACACCGGGTTCTAGTCCCATTCGGGGCGCCGGATTCTGTCCCGGTTGCCCCGCTTCCAGGCCAGCTCTCTACTGTGGCCAGGGAGTGCAGTGGAGGATGGCCCAAGTGCTTGGGCCCTGCACCCCATGGGAGACCAGGATAAGTACCTGGCTCCTGCCATCGGATCAGCGCGGTGCGCCAGCCGCGGCGGCCATTGGAGGGTGAACCAACGGCAAAGGAAGACCTTTCTCTCTGTCTCTCTCTCACTGTCCACTCTGCCTGTCAAAAAAAAAAAGACCAGAACGAGGGTGGTGCTGGCATGTGGTGGGCAAGAGGGCAGGGATGGTGCCCAAGGTTCTGTACCCAGCCACAGGGAGGTGTCCAATCTGTGGCCGCAGCACCAGGAATGTACCTGAGCTTGTCTGATCTCAGATGCTAAGCTGGGTTGGACCTGGACGGGAAAAAGTCCAGAGCGCTCAGGCTGAGAAACCACACAGTGGGTATGGGGGCAGGTGGCAGCCGAGGCAAGTGTTTTATCCCAGAAACCACAGCTTTGTTGAAAGAAACATTAAAACCGGGGTGCTGAGTGGAGTGTTCTTCAGTCTTTAAAAATGTTGGCCCTGGTGAGGGGTGGGATGTGGGGGAGTAGGGGTGAGAGAGGGCAAATGGGAAACTGTGCCAGTCCGGGGCCCAGGGCGTGGCTTTAGGCAGATACTTCAGGGCGATGGGGATCCGTGTCTGGGAAGTTGGGAGCCTGGGAGCAGACTCCCAGAAGGTTCTCACCCATGAAAGCGTGGCTCACGAGGACCGCCAGCCCCTCCAGGCACGTAATCCTGTGTATCTATTTACCTACTGCTTTAACCTGGCTGTGTGCGTGCGCATGCGTGTCCTTGGCGGGGAGCAGGAGGGAGGCGGAGGCGGGAGGGTCTGACCCCGGGCCGGGTCGGCGAGGGCCGGGCCAGGCCAGGCCGGCCGGGGAGACGGTACTTTCCTGCCTTTGGTGCGGGGTGGCGGTGGCGTGGCCAGGGCTGTGTTCTCGCGCTGCACCAGGCCGCTAACAAGTGGGCCCGCAGCCCTCCGGGGCCTTTGGAGTGCACTCATCTGCGAGATTGCGCCTTTCTCAGCCGCGCAGATTTATTTTGCCAAAGTTACAGGGCAATTATGGAAATGCGCCCTTTGAAGCTGGGCTGATTTCTCTTTATTTTCTTCTCCCTGACAAAGCAGCGCTTCTCTGCCTCTTGTGGGTCTCGCTCCTCTCTCTCTTTTTCCCTTTTTTTTTCCTCTGATAATTATTAAATAGTGGGAGTTTCTAGAGGTATGTGAAAAAATCTTTGACAGTGATAAAAACATGTGAATTAAAATAATGTTAGTATTCTTTCCATGTTTCTTTTTTTCTAAATGGGATGTGCATGGCCAGGAGGGGAGGGTGAGAGAGAGCAAGAGGCAGACACCTCCTGCCCTGCTTGCGGGTCCCTGGTTTCCCCACCACCCGCCTGGTGGGCAGAGAGCGAGCCCGAGCCGGGGCCACCCCTGCTTCCTGCTGCAGCCCTGCCCCACTCCTGCTGCTGCTCTCTGGGCCCTCCTGCGTGGATTCTCCCTGCAGCGTGGAGACTGTGTGTGAACCGGCCCCACTGATTTCTCTCCTCCTGC